GAGGAGGAGGAGGAGGAGGAGGAGGAGACAGAGGGCGAGGAGGCCGAGACAGAGGAGGACACCACCTCCGGAGAGCTGCAGCTTTCCGCCGGCCGCTCCTCCAGGATCCAGCGGCGGTCCCCGGTGGAGCCGCGGCGCCGGGGCTCACAGGGCTCCACGCTGAAGTCCCGATCCGAGGACAACCTGCTGCAGCTCCTGGGCCACGCCCGCGGGAGCTCCGCGCACGAGTCGGGGTCCCGGGAAGGGGACAGAGCAGAGAGGAGGGAAGGCTTGTCCCACTGCAAGAGCCTGTCTCACCTGGACTCCCGGCCCCAGCCCGCCAGAGCAGTCCTCTTCCAGGTGCCGGCGCAGCGGCCCGAGCTCGACGAGGCGCCCGGCGACCGGCCGGGCAAGCTGACGGACACCCTGAAGAGGGCAGAGGCTCGCCGGGCACAGAGGGGTATGGGCACGGCAGCCAGCAGGAACTGCGGGGACTCCAGCAGCAGCAGTAGCAGCGGGTCAGAGCCCGAGAACGGAGATACGGCGCCCTCTGACTCGGGGGCTGGGAACTGCAGCCCCGTGGGGGCCCCTGGGGTAGAGCAGGGTAGCCCCGGTGAAACGGAAACAGCCAGGAGGTCCCCCTCAGAGTCCCAGACCCCTGTGCAGCAGCACAAGAAGCTGACTGTGGCCCAGCTGTACCGGATACGGACCACCATGGTGCTCAACTCCACCCTCACTGCGTCGTAAGTGACACCCCTCTTCTGCCTGTTACTCCCTAGACCTCTCTCTGTTCTCTGCTTGCCATGCTTCTTTCCACTGGTCTTCATGTGCCCTCCTTATTTTCGTCTGTGCTCCTGCCTCCTCAGGGTCTTCGCTTGTGTATCACCGTGAAGCCTGCCTGCTCAGCGTAATGGACAGCTGGGCTGGTCACTGACTCTCCTCTGCCTTTTCTGTCCCATTGCTCTGATGCTTCCTTCTTCACAATCTGTTGCTTTATTACACACCACAACAGAATTTGACAGGTGTTAATAAAACTAGAAATAACAGAGGAATTCCAGTAGGTTCCTCCCTGCTGCTGTTGGTGAGTCACCTGCCACACCTCTTACAGAGGGACAGGGCAAACAGCAATGCAGCAGGCAGACTCTCTTCCTGCGGGAAAGGTTGGCCGATGAAGTGCAGCCTTGCTTTATGGTGTAGCCAGCCTAACATCCTCTCACGCCCCACCCCAGCTATTTGTTTTTTAACTGATCTTAAACCGTATCTTAGAGATTTAATCCAAGTACAATCCAAGCCTAACTGTTTGTTGTTAGATGGATTAGGAGATATATTACAGTGTTTGAAGGAATATCATTTACTTCAAAGAAAGCCTTGCATTAAATCTCCAAAATGAAATAAGCTCATCATTTCTCTACCTCTGTCAGGAGAAACCAGAACATGCATATACCCATCAATAAAGTATGCTGTATGCATATTTTATTAACATTGTCCAAGCTATTAAAAAAAATGTTCCTTCAAATCATGTTTGTCCTGTGCAGAAAGGATCTAAACACTGTTGCTGTACAAATGATGCAAAACTCCATGTAATGGGTCCGTTTCACAATTTTGTTCCAGGGAGGTGTAATCTTCCTGGACGAGCAACGAGCAACACTGCAGGGTCTCAGTGTGGAACTGCACTGTGCAGACTGAGGCTGCGGTAGGACTCATTATTCTGCAACACCAATGCACTCGGCATGAGAACATGGACTGCCTTTCCCCTTATTCTCCGTGGACTTCTTGAGCATGGACGTGGCTTTCCCATTAACAGCATCGGAATAAAATGATTTGCTTTGGACCTTTTGAAGAGGGGGGGGGGCAGGTTTTGTTTGCACTTTGTAGCAATAAAAGATTTGAAGGAGACAAGAGGACAGCCAAGCTGGGAGGAGGAGAACAAAATCAGGGCCATAAAACAGGTTGCGGGCGAGTCAAGAGACTCACCTCTGGCCCTTGTGACGGGGGAGAGCTCAAGGTGAACCACAGGAGGACTGCCGCTGTAAAATCTCCCCTTGAGCTTGGATTCCCTGCACACAGGAGAGCGGCTGTGGGTCACGGCAGCACAGACAGGACTGAACGCGGCATTAGGCAAACCAAAACTAACAGCGGCAGTGTTGTCAAACCGTAGCACCTTTGATTTTTTTTTTGTTTTATATTCCAACTGTAAAATGAGATACGAAGAAGGCAGGGGGAAAGAAAAGTGTGTGGGGGGTTATCCTGGGCAAGGGCGGAAGTAGGCCCTTAGGAAATGCAGGAAAACCTGGCCGGAGATCACAGCAGAGCCCGCATGCTGACTGCCCTCCTCCAGTGGGTCTCTGAGCGCTCGGGAATCTCGAATCGGTGAAAGGAGAGCGGAACCAGTCTCGTTTCCACTTGTC